TTCCGATCTTCGACGTCTTTGAAAGAGTGCCGGCACCTAATGTCTAACCTGCTGACTGCAGGATTTTGATTTTTATCCTAAATGAAATTAGATATCAAAAAAACTAGTTTTTATAAAATAGTTACGATTTTTTCACGTGAGCTCCCGGATTATATTCACTGAGAACGACTATAATGAAGAGTTAAACTTAATTACAATATATTCATTGTTTGAGCACACGGAATATAAAAGTAAAAAGCAACTTACGTCCGATTATGTAAGAAATTGCCAAAAAAAATGAGAACAACGTAATACTTGATGTTGCATCTTATTAAAACGAGACTTGTAAGTCAACTGTGGAAATCTTTTGTTTGTAAGACGCGAAGTCAAAAGATAGAAATAGAATGACGTTATTGTAAGTAAATGACATTATTATTTGTTGTTTGATGGTGGCTGCGTTCCGTTTCACGCATGATGCGCATGATTTATCCTTTCATCGTTGTTTAACACGTGGTGAACAACAAAGATACCATGATATATCATGCGTGAAACGGAATGCAGCCGGTATATGTCAGTAATTATTATTCGAAAGTTCGTCAAGAATACTAAAATAGGCGCAATCAAGCATTTTTATATTATTATATCTTTGATAGAATTTATCCCGTTCTTTGATTCCTTTATGTGGATCATTTCAGAGATCGCAATCTTTTATGGAAATTGTGTTCCGAATCTAGAATTTTACCACCATCCCAATTGAACGTGTTGTTGAAGCATGTGTTCCGTAATCACAGAATGTTTTTATTGATCTAATTTTAAGTTTTTATGTTCTTTTAATCTAGTCATTAACATTTGATATATATCATCAAACAACAAATAACAGTGTCATTTACTTACAATGGCTGCGTTCCATTTAACGCTCACAACGCTCGCGAGCTAATACTTGTCCTTGCGTTTAACATTTGATAAACAACAAGGGTGAAATGATTCCAAGAGCGTTGCGAGCATTAAATGGAACCCAATGACGTCACTCTATTTCTATCTTTTGACTTTGCGTCTTATAAACAAAAGATTTCCACAGTTGACTTACAAGTCTCGTTCTAATAAGATGCGACATCAAGCATTTTGTTCTCATTTTTCTAGCAATTTCTTATATAATCGGACGTAAGTTGCTTTTTACTTTTATATTCCACGTGCTCAAATAATAAACATATTTTAATTAAGTTTAATGAACACACACGCTCTTTATTTGTCCTCAGTAAATATCTATATCTTTACATTGGATTTGCTGCGATGTTGGTGATACGTCAGGTTAATATTTCGTTTGATTTCTCGATCGGACATTTTCTCGCAACGAGGAATGATGGATAGAAAATATTTTTAATTACTGACATGTGGACTTTGGGTACGTCCAGATCTCGAGAGGATGCCTCGAACACACAATATGCAAGTTTTTGAGGGAGATTATAATCGCAGTCCCGCTTTGTTTCTTGAATAAAGATTATTGTAATGCGTAGTCTCTCACTCATTTATAATTTGATAATTACGATTTTTTAACTTTTATTTTATTGTATTTTAATTATTTGACCTTATATGTAGTAGTTTGAGCTGAAGAAAACTTCGTGTCGAAACGTACTACTGGTTTTTTTTTTGTAGAATGTTTTAGTAAATTTTTCAATTTTTACCACAGATTTCTATATATTTTTATAGAAATCTGATTTTTACAACTAAATTGATTAAAATACTTTAAATAAGCGTTTCGCATAATATTTTATCTAGAATAAAATAAATTATACAAATTTATATTCTTTATCACATAAATTTTTATTTGTCTGTCCCGTTTAGATCCTTGTATATATATCATGAGATTTGCTTATAAACTTGAATTTGGTGATGATAAAACAACTCAAGCCGTATCTAACACAGCTATAAGAATCGTTAAAAGAATGAAAAGGGATAGTATTCATAGTGGCCGTAGACCATCAGGATTATGTGGCGCAGGTAAACATTTTATTATAATAATATTGTTATGTGTGCGTGCGTATGTGTGCGTGTATACATATGTATATTAAATCTTTTTCTGCAACAGCTTTATTAATAGCTGCGCGATTACATGAATTCAACAGATCAACTGCTGATATTATAAAAATTGTTAAGGTACACGAATCTACCCTACGTAAAAGGTGAGCATTTTTTCAGATATCTATATTTATGTTTTTCATATTTAATATTTTTTCCAGATATCTATATTTAATATTTTTAACAATCACGTAATATAATAAACGTTTCAATAGATTTTTTCTTATGTATAGATTAATGGAATTTGGTGATACACCATCCAGTGCTTTGACATTAGATGAATTTATGACAGTGGATTTGGAAGAAGAACAAGATCCTCCAGCATTCAAAGCAGCACGTAAAAAAGATAAAGAACGTTTACAAAAAGTATGTTTTTTTCTTTAATTGTAATATTTTTTATTTAAAAAACTTTAAAATCAAGTTATTTTATATAATATTTTATATAATACTTTTATGTCCTAATAATATTTCTCTTTTTTTTTAGTTAGAAAATATAGATGCGGAAATAAGTGAGCTGCAAGCAGAAATTGATAGACAGTTAGAAGATTATAGAATTGGGAAAGTAAGAAAACGAAAGGATGGTAATTATATTTTTATAGCATATATTATTTATTAATAAATACAAAAAGGGTATAATTTATTTGGATATACAAGATAAACTTATACAGTATCCAATAATAACCGTCCAAAATCTCGTGGGCTGGTAGAGCAGATTAAACTGAACAGAAAGGTCCTCTACCATTTTGCAAAATTCTTAATCGTTAACGAAATATTAATTTTTGAAAATTTTCGAATAAACGCGTATCCGTCCGGCCCACCGCTGTACCAGCAGTGGGACGATCATGCCGGTCGTATCTCGCTGCGCTGCTAGGCATATGGGGATAGACTCTATCCCCACACGCCTAGTAACGCGGCGAGATATGGCCGTCTCACTGCTGGTATTCGGCGGTGGGCTGGACGAATACGCGTTTATTTGCCAATCTTCAAAAATTAATATCTCGTTAACGATTGCAAATTTTGCAAAATGGTAGAGGACTTTTCGATTTATAATAGTTTAATCTGTTCTACTAGCCCACAAGATTTTGGGCGGTTATTACCGGACACCCTGTATAATTACAACCATTTAAAATAGATTATTCGGAAGGAAAAGAAAATATTTTGAAAGATAACAGTATGATTATTAACCCTTTCAAGCACGGTGGCATTGCGGAATGCCACCTTTTCCATAACCATTTTCTGAATAATTAGGATAGTTTCCACTCAATTTTCGAATCTTTTTTTGTGTTTTGGTATCAGTTATACATTCAAGAATAAGAATCGATGTGCAATAATTCGAAATCATGGGTGATTTTGTTTATACAAATAAACAAATGTTGAAA